AAAACAGCACCAGCTCCCTTCACGTTCAGACACATGCCCATCATTCTAGCAGATACAGCAAGTTACCCCTTCAGGAAGTCACAAATTAAAGTACCTTCCACCTCTCTGAGCACTTCTTGGAAAACTCTGCAAAGTTGACTGGAACCTCTGGGTTCTTTTTCTTATGTTCCTCACGGCACGTCTGCACAAAGAAGGCATAGGCAGACATCTTGCCCTTGGGCTTCTTCGGATCACCTTTAGCCATCTTGACTCTGTACGGAAGAGAGGGGAAAGGGAAAGAAATAAGTGAGTGCATGCATGGACAAATGTGTATATACGTACATAGTGTGCATATTTTTATACATATGCACATACCACCATCCCCTGAAGTGACACCCCATCAGCAACACATCCCTTTTTTCCCCCAAAAACACTTCCTACTATCCCCAACAGACAGACTCAAGTTATTCTTCCCTTGACACTTTGGTTGCAGACTTGAGCCAAGCAAAACTGGTCACTGATTTCAGTTTTACATTGATATGCTTTTACATCATGCCCTAAGACTGGAGACAGGCTATTAAATACACATACTTGTGCCCATTAAGAGTTATAGATGAACTAATACAAAATATTTTAGTTGGCTACCACACTGGGGCTCAAGTGGTGTGCACAGCACCAGGCTGTGACTTATCCCTTTAGTAACTGGAGTTCACATGTTCACAGCTGTCGGCCAGGTAGAAAAGCAGTACAGGCTATCCCCCCCCCATAAAACTGCAATAACGGTCTATATATAAGGTGGTGCGGAAATAAAAGCTAGTTTTAAACACAACAGGGGCCCGTGAAGCTCAGTGAGGTGAGCAGCGCTCGCTCTTGCTCCACCAAGTGACACATGCTCAGAGGCATAGTGGTCAGTGCAAAGATGCGATTAGCAAGTCACCAAGAGGATGATGCTAACTTTTGGGCTGTATTTCTTTCCCTTTCCTCCGTATTATTCTTTTTTTTCTCTAAAAAAAAAAAAATTTTAAAAAGCCACAATAAGAAAATTAAAAAAAAAAAAACCTCCCGCAGTAATATTTCCTATTTACTGCCTCCGAGGCGTTTGAAAATTTAATTTTTATTAGCACAACGTTAATATTTAATTGCGCCCGGTCACTCTCCGTGTGCGGCTGTAGTGGCTTTAAGCCGCTCGCTCCCACCCCGGCCGCTCCCCGACCCGTCGGGGGCCCCCGCTGCCGCCCTACACCTCTCCGCGGGCGGACAGAAAACCCGCGTACGCTGGGACCAGGCGGCGAGACCGGAGCGCGGCCGGGACCGGGGCCGAAGTTGGGGGCGAGCGGCCCGCCGCGGCCGGCCCGGCCTCCGCTCCTCTCCTCTCCCGCCATCTTCTCCCCCCCACTCCCCCAAGGTCACCGCGGCCGCTGGGCTCCGCGGCGCGGGGAGCGGGCACCTGCGGCGGGGCCGGGGCCGGCGGGCGGAGGGGGCAGCTGCGGCTCCGCCAGACGCCAATAATTCATCTTCCATTTTGTGAAATGCCTCCTGATGAAAGAAAGTGCCCCTGAAATGCGGCGGGGCGGCGGGCGGGGGGCGCCGGGGGGCCCGGCGGCGGGCGGGGGCGCGGAGCGCCGGCCCGGCCCCGGGCGGCCGGTGCGAGCGGTAGCGAGAGCGGCGGCCGCGCTCCGCGCCCAGGGCCGGCCCCGCTCGCTAAGATGGCTTCTCCCGGCGCCGCCGCCGCGCCGCCGAACAAAGCCGCGCTCCCCCTCCGCCGCGCTCGGCCCCCCGCGCCCGCCGCCCCCGGCCGCCAGCCCCGCCAAAACGCCGCCCCCGCCGCGAAGGGGCTCCGCGCTCGGCCCCCCATCGAGCGGCGGGGGGCGGCGGGGCCGGGGCGCGGACGGGAGGCGCCCCCCCCCCCCCCGGCCCCTGCCTAGCGCAGCGCTCTCTAACAAAGGCTCCCGTGCAGCCATTATCGCCGCCGCTACGCTCCTCCGCGTCGCCAGAAAAAGAGTGCGGAGAGCCCCGGGGCGGCCCCCCGGAGCCCGGCCGAGGGCAAGGGGAGGTGGGGAGAGAGAAGCCGGGGCGAAAGCGAAAGGTTTGGACCCTCGGCGGGGCGCCGGGAAGGAGATTTTCCCCGCCGCGACCTCCCTCCCCATCCCTATGCCGCTTACACGTCTTTCTTCCCTTCGCCGGGGCTCTCCAGCGCCAGCCATATTAATGCCCACAGTACTGGCGGCGCGGCGCGGGGAAGAAGCGATGCGGGGCTCCGCCGCGGGCGCAGCCCCGCCGAAGACACCTTCCCGAGCAGGGGAAGAGCGGCAGAGGCAGAGGCGAAGGGATCGGGGGAGTTTGGAGGCGGCGGCGGCGAGAAAAAAACTGCTTCGCCGGGACCGACGGGCGCAGCGCGCAGGGTTTATCCCTGTCAGATGCTAAAGCGACAGCCATATTAATGCAGAATAAACAGCGGGCACAGCACTGCGCACGGCCAACAACTTTCCCACCGCCGCCAGCCCCACCGAGCCCACCCGGGGAACAGGGGCAAATAAAAACCGAGGGCGCCGCGCGTTTTGCCGTGCGACATTAGGAGGCGGCAGAGAAAAATCCCTGCCCATGCGGGGGAGAAGAGGAGTTAGTCCCGGTGTAGTTGCTGCACCAGCCATATTACTCTCGGCGGCACGGGAGCCCGGCGCAGAGAAATGGGGCTACACCGGGGACAGGTAGCCCCTCCGCACCGGGGTGGGGGGCTCCCGGCGGAGCAGGGGAGGAGAACGGGGGATAAACACTGCGCCTCGCCCGCTGCCCACCGCCCCGCCAGCTGCGCGCAGCATCTGCCCCGGCACCGGCGATCTCTGAGCGAGAGGGGAAGAAAGTTTTGGGTGATTTCCTCCCCCCTTTTTTTTAATTAAAAAAAAAAAGATTTTTTTTTTTAAAGGAAGAAAAGAAGGGAAAACAAAAAAAATACACCGATATCAGCCACAGAATGAAGCGGGGTCGGGCAGGACGAGGGGCGCAGGGCGGGGCGGGCAGCGGCAGCCGCCCCCCGGAAAGTTGCGGCGGGGCTCACGTACCTGTATTGTTCGCGGCAGTGTGGACAGGAGCTGAGCGCAGGGCACGGCGCGGGGCTCGGCGCGGCTCAGCCTCGCGTTGGCTGCCTACGAGAGCGGCCTGATTGGCTGCGGGGCTCTGCCGTTTAAAACAACCTCCTCGCCAGCTCATAGGCTCGGCGCCTCATGAATATTAAGCAGGACCGCGCGGTGGTTGGACGGCATGGGTGATGTCATTCATTCAAAACTGTAGCGCCCGCCGGGGGAAAGGGGAGGTTTGGGGGCGCGAGCCTTTTGGGGCGGGGAGGTTAATGCCGTCCCGCGCAACTTTGCGCGTTGCCCTGCGCCCTGGGTGGCGGGAACGCTGCGGTCCCTGCCCGCGAAACCGCCATGTGGTTGCGGCCGCCGGGTGCCCCATTCACCACCGAGCGCACCGGCGTTGCGCGCAGGGTCGCTGCGGGGTGTGCGGTGCTCAGTGTCCCCTCCCTCCCTGATGGACAGCGCTGGGTCCGGCAGCCCCGCACGCTACCCGCGTTGGTGCTGTGTTGCAGAGAAGACCCACCGGCAGCCGCGCAAAAGGGACGAAGGGCAGCGAAGGCAGCATCTCGGGGGAGAGTGGATTCCCCGGCCTATGGTAATTGCCTCATTGGTGATTTCAGCAAGGGTCCCGTTCCGCTTTCACCGGTGCTGCTCGCAAAGTCGGTTACTACTGCGCGTAAAGGGGGGGAACCGAGCCCAAAATAAACTCCGCTGACAGTTCTGCCGATAGATGGAAAAGGAACTACACAGCAAGAAACGGCGTGTTTGTTGGAAGGGGGGGGGGGACGGGGACGGACGGGGACACCAGAGAGTTTCACCCACTCAATTAAATAAAACACCAAAACAATTAACTTGAATTGCTGTTTCTAAACTACTTCCACAATTTGTTTGGTATTAACTTTCTAGGATTTGGTTGTTATTACAGCGGCTGGTTGTAGCCAAGTAAATTTATCAACATGCCCTTGTGACTGAAACCTCCTCAGCATGGCTCAGGGGCCAAGGGGACAGAGGCTCCTCTGGCTCTCTTAAAAGAGCTGTTTCCTATAGGGCAGTTGCCAAATGGTTAAACTGGTATTAGTGGCTGACCACAATTGTCGGCTGGCTTGGAAAACTGGAGCTGTTATTTTAAGGCTCGAGCGGTAAGACTCAGAAACCACTGTGTACTGTTATGGGCTGGGCGTAACTGCCACCCTTTTATGATAGCCAGAAGAAACAGTTGCCCTCTTTAAGACACAGATAGTGAAGAGCAGCCTCCACCCTGGTCCGAGAAGCTGGCAGGCAAGCAGGGTTTACCAGATACTGCCCTGTGGAAGCGCTTATGGCTATAACAACATATGGTCACAGACTGCCTTTGCCGGAAGAGATCAAAACAAAACGACTGATGAGACATAGAGGAGTTCCAGTCTCCTGCTGACAGAGACACTGGGGAGCGTGCAGAATTTCACCCAGGATTTTAGCCAAAGACCCGCCTAGATTTCTCCCTTAGGGTACACCTCAGCTGGTATAGCAATCACCCAAATCCAGTTGTCATCCATATGCAGAACCGCTGAGGCTTAGAGAGATCTTACACCCATATCCTTGGGCTTTCCGAAGCAGATATGGTAAAACCAGCCTTACTAGCCTCTTGCCCTATTTCTACCTTCTAAAGCCAAAAGCATAAAACAAGGGGGTTCATTCATAAACATTAATGAGGTTACCCGAGGGACTGTATTCTGTAGCATCATCATAAAATAAGATAAGCAATACTACTGCAGGATAATCTCTTTGTAGCTGATAAACATCCCTCTCACCTATTTTTAGAGATACTTTAAAGTGTTTCAAAATAGTTGAATAATTAAGGCTTTTTCTCTTGGCTCTGGAGTTGCACATTTTTTGCGCTGAAACACTTTTTTTCCTCAAATCACAATCTCACCCCACAGAGCACTGCTCACCTCTGTAATGTGGGAGCATTACAGAGGTGAGCAGTGGCAGCCCTGATGGACAGGCTTGCTTAGGACAGGCACCTGGCATTAAATACACGCGGCCCTGCTAGTCATCTCCACAGCATCCCTCCCACTTCTCATAGGCCAAGGCAAACATTCGCTAAGACACTTGTTCTAGGCAGGCCAGGGAAGTTTTTACAGCTGGTCAAGGGGCAAAGGAGATATTTTGGTAGCTGAGAGACAGCTGGGTGGAAGGTTTTGTCCTAGTACTCACAGCATGGTTTTGAAAGCAGTGGAGGGCTGAGTAGCAAATGGGTGACCATAACCCCTATGGAGATAGCTTCTGCTCACCCCCAGAGCTACCACTGCAGAAGGAAATTCTCCGACAGTGCCCTCTGCCCTGCACATTGCACTGGGCTCTGCAGCTGAGTGCTTTCCCGCAGTGCACCAGGGCAACAGCCTAGAAAGTTGTCTGAGCAAATCTAACCTTTTGCTGTCACCTCTTTCAGGCCATGCACCCCACTTCTTCTTAACTCCGGCCTTCACCTGACCCCTCCGGGGGCCAAGGCAGCTCACTAACCTAGCAAAAGATAAACAAAGCCCCAAATTCAACCTCCTTTTTCTCTGCATTAAGTTTCTGCTGGACCAGAGGACTGAACCAGCATACCTAGGGGTCAGGTAAGTACCAGAACAGAGGCAAAAGAGGATGCAGAAGGGTTCAGCCAGGATTAGGGAAACACTTCTTAGAAGTATGGGTTTGGCAAATTTTAGGTAGTTTTTCTTTGTTTTCATATTACAGACTATTATACATTTATTCTATAGGAAGCATGAGAAGAAAACCATCAGAACAAACTTCAGGCTTCCTGGCTGTTGGCACAGAAAGCAGTGTTTGCTATGAAGCTAGGAGAGCTCAATGCATAGTCTTGTACCTTCCCTTCAGAAAGTTCTACCCTGGTCCCCACCATACTTGCTACAGGCAGATTTATTTTACAAACACATGTTATGTGTTTAAGCAACTGTCAGCTATACCCTGCATCCCACAGCAGGGACCCAGGCCAGGCAATATCTTGACTATAAGGACCAAGGCATAAAATTTGGTTCAAGGTCCTGTATCAAGCAGACAGCTTGCTGAGGAGATTGTCCACAGAGTCCTGTCCCAGCTGGAATCACCAAACACTGAAAGCTTCTGGCCCATGTATATCATGTTGGTGCTGTCCAGGAAGCAGCAGAGATGCAAACAGCTGAGGCCTCGTCAGTACCGGCCAAGATGGAATGACATCTCTTCAGCTAGAGATGATAGAACAGGGAGGATGCTGTGAAAATACCTGGAGTAACCAAGGAGTCTTCCAACAAATCAACAGATTGCATAAATACACTTCAAATTCAGGAAAGTCATCCACATTATAAATGAAATGCCTTCTTCTGCTCCCTAGAGTTGCTGAAGGTCCAGAATAAGTTCACCTATTTTTGAGCCAACAGCCAGATCTCATCTGAACACCAGCAATAGGTTGGTGGGGTCAGCCTTCTCACAGCTCAGTCCTGCTCCAGTTGTGTCAGATGGCTAGCAAATCTAGGCCCTCCATGTGTCTAAGCTGTTCAGAAATCAGTGCTGAAAAGAATCAGAGTGATTTGGTGATTTTGGGTGTAGAAAGGAAACAGCATCCTTGCCACCACGGATCAGCTTCACAGCTCATCCAGCCACCCTCACCTCCACCGTATCGTTCCCATCAGTGAGACCATGAATGCCTTGGAGTGATCCTGGAGGACAACCGTGTATGAAAGATTGGTCCTCAAGACCTTTAACAAGCTTCTCAGTCTGAATCTAGATTGTCTTGAGTTAGAAAGCTATCCTGACATTAACTTGATCTCTTGTTAGTGTCACTAGGCATTTGCTCAGCAGCTGGTATGATTTCAGCCACACAGTGGATTTGAATTGATATCACATCCTTACTGGATTTGTCCAACACTGGTCAGAGCACATTGTTCTTGTTGTGTTGGCTATCTTGATCATGAGTAGCATCACCTATTAATAGCTAGGAATATGCTGGTCTGAATTCACAAATGGAAATTTCAAAGCATCTCAGTGAATTAGGAACACACCAGTCAGAAAAATGACTAGGGCCCCTGATGTCATGATAGCCTTAAAATGAGCTACTGTGTCTGAAAAGCTTCCCAAACATACACAGTCATTTCCAGAAGGAATAAAACAGTTACCTGGTTTCCATTCTTGAGGGGCAGGTCAAATACACAGTGCATTGCCAAAGCACTTTCCTTACTGATTAACTTCTTGGGCTGAGATTCAGCAGCATCACTGGGAATAGCCAAAAAGTTCCTCTGGTCTGCAGCACACATGCTTGGGGATGTGCTGTTTCACCCCATCAGCCTCTGCTTTCCAGTGCTGATACTCAAGTTTCCACATTTCTTTCTGACAGCTGATGTAGGTACTGGAAAGCCATGAAAGTCTGCAGGGGCAAATAACTGCAGTGAGGTATTGGGTACCAATACAGCAACAGTCCTTTTGTCCTTTACCCAGCTTTGGAAGACGCTGAGCCCATGACTGTGTGCTTAAATTAGGAGCACCCTGAGCACTGTATGGGGGAGCCTATTGAAGGCAAAGGGTACAGTATGCATCAAGAAATATCACTGGAAAACCTGGAGCCATCTGCCTGCTGTCCTTACTGAGCTAAGAAGTAATTTTCTGAGGCCTTCTAAGCCACAGGATGCTGTGGCTCACAGAAAAATAGAAGAATCCCAAGAAGAAATACACTTGCTGTTCACAGGGTGAGGAAGTTCAGGAAAACTCAGTTCTAATATCTCAGTTCCCATTAAACACCTTTTCAAGCAACCTGGACACCCAGCACCAGTACGCTGAAGGTGTGCTCAAGGCCCTGGTAGAAACACCAGAGAGGAAGTAGAGTAGACACAGCAATCCCAGGACATCATCATGTATTCCTCACAGTGGTTTATCTAGGCATCCTGTCCTTAGCAAAGCAAGTTATCCCACTGTGGTCAGAAAGCTGCAGTTTAAGCAGGATAATTACAGCTGCATTTGGCGCTTCCACTCCTGTCTGGATCACATCTCTTCACAACCTTTACCCACTGGCAAAACTCTCTAGTGAAGACTTGACCCGAATGAAAAGGCTGATATAAATACATCCGTAGGGTTCTGCCAGCAATTAGGAATAAGGGCGGGGGGAAATCCCTCCGAGGAATCTAACAAAGCCAGGAAACCTTTTTAAACAGAACCAGCCTATCAGAGTGACAGAGTTGACATTTAAGGTTGGATGGACAATAGTGACACGAAAAGTGTTAAATGACCTGTTCGTCTCAACAATATATTCATTAGGCTAGTTAGGGGGCTGTTTCCAAAGCCTTCAGTTTGGACCTAGCTTCTCCCATCACTAACCTTCTATGTTAACACGCAATAGAGATGAAGAGGCTCAATTAACCCTTCTCTAACTGGCGTAGTTGAAAGCTGTTTGCAGAGGTTTGATTTAGAAGTACAAGAGCTATTTTATTTTATCTTACTATTTCAATCAAGAGTTTCACTTCAGTAAAGATGAGGAGGAATCCCTCCATCTGAAACCCTCCAAGTTTTACAACATGTGGGATTTCCATGCCTGGATTTTCTGATGCCCGCAGCCTGAGGCTGAATTCCAAGTCCTGTAACTATAGTAAAATATTTGTAATTGCTCACTGGGATCTCAGCCAGTGAGAATATTTCCTCTTTACCCTATGAAACAAAAAGAGTTACCTTAAATACATGCTGCAAGTAGAAAATAAAATTAGCAATGGTGTTTAAGGAGCTTGGCAGCATGCAAGTTCAGAGAAACAGAGGTTAATCTGATCCCAGTTCAGCTACAGGAAACCCAATGTTCCAACAATTAAAATATTAGCCCAGATGAACAGGTGACCCCCCTAAACCTCCTAATGGGGTGGCACAGCCTGTTATCCCCCGTAGCCATATCCCATTAAGCTGACACCTCTGCAGGAGTAGGATACACTTGCAGTTACACACACAAAATTAATTATTGTCAAACGCACTTCATGGGGACCGAGGTGAGAAGTTAAAATAATTGACAATTATATTAGGCAGCAGTTCAAAACCTCCTTGCAGCATAACCACAGGCAAGATAAACAGAAACTCATGGTTACCTTTGCAGGTGGGCTCCTCCACTTGGCTTTTTCCTTCCTTTCTGCCCCTTCTCCCCCTCCTGTTGTTGCTTCCCTTCACACCCTGGTGCTGGCTTTGTCCCAGTGCATGCTGCCAAGTGGCAGTTAGCCCTTGCACACCTGCTCCGAGAGATTTGCCACCACAGCACAGAACAGCACAGCACCTCCTACACTACCAGACTCCTGGAAACTGCGTGCCCACTGCATGCTGCCTCCTTACATCCCAGCTCATCTCTGCTCCTTCATCTAACACATCCTTCCTGCCACAACACGCTTCCTTCAGGCATCTCCTTCCATCTCAACGACCACAGGACCATCTGCTTCCACGCATCTTTTTAAAGAGGCATTATGCCAAACACTGTAAACACCAAGTGACCTGTTGGATGAGCAGTGAGCAAAATTTAACTTCAGAAGGACGTTTCTGCTGCTGTTTTGCATAGAAAGAACCACACTCAAAAAACTTAAAGGTACTTAAGGAAGAAAAAAAAAAAATCACACAGGACAACCAGAAACAATCTCTGCAAGATTCCCGTAGCCTTCAGAGGAAGTGAAATCTAGATGAAATTTTAAAAGAGAAGATTGTGTTTTCCTTGCACTTTAATTGGCAAATAATCAAGACCACATCCAATGCAACACAAGTTCTTGCAATACACGCTGTGACAGCAGACCAAGAATCTCTATTAGGAATGCAATTACAACCCAACAGCAGTCCAGCAAAAGAATGAGAAACAGGAGAACCCCCAAAGTCCCTCAAGCTTCCCCACAACCTCTCTGTCCCTGTGTATTTTTTTCTTCTCATAGATCTGTTGAGAAAATACCGTTCCCTTTTTGGTATCAGTTTGGTGCTATCAGTTCACCATAGCAACTGACAGCAAACAGCAGCTCCAGTAACTGGAAGTTGTTGGCTGGCTCAGGTAGGCTCTCCTGCAGCAGCAGGCTCGAGTGACTCTGCTCTTAACAAAACCATCAGTTGCATAATTCTAGACCTAATTCTGTTAAGAGAGAATATACACAATTAACTAAATGCCACCAATTAAACTATCAAGAAGGCAGGAATATTTTCAGTTAGAGAACTTTGTGTGCAGCTACACTGTAATCAGGGTATGACAGCAGCTCCTGCAGACACACCAAGCTACTTCTAAAACAGCTACCTCAAGTGCTGGAGACAGACACGGACCACAAAGCCCACCAGGGCAGCTGAGTCCATCTCAGGCAGCTTCCCTGCACACATCTCCGTGCTGGCACAGGCCAAACTGCAAGCAGTGCCTGAGCTGCTAGAGCCTGGGATGCTGTGGAAGTCCAGGTCACTCCCAAGCAATGCCCAACAATAGATGGATCTGAGCTAAGACACTAGAGCACAACGTGAAGCAGATGAGACTCAATCCTGCTGCTAGACCATGGAGGTATTAGATTCAGCAGGAAGATAAAGAAGTCAACAGGATGGTGAAACCATGAAGGAGAGGAAAGGGAGTTTTGCTATATATGGCTGGGACTTACACAAATATCTATGTATTACTGAAAAGCATAGCAGAGGCATATACTGTGACAAAGTATCCAGCTCAGGTTGCTGCCACCAGGTGCTTACATCTATCCTTGATGATGTGGAAGGAACAATTTATTTTTGGGGAAATTTAATAGTAAAGAGCATGGATTTTTTGCCAAGCGCTCCTAAATTCTTCTGCTTTATGTTCACTGAACATCTGCTTTGCTAACAGATTTAATCCCTGTTTTGCATAGGAGTGTAGGAACATTACAATGAGTGAATAACAAACATATTTACAGTGAAATTGGTTTTAAGAATGTACAGTTTATGTGAGCACATATTCTTTAGAGACACACATACACATACATTAGGCATTGCTTTACAGTTAAAGGAAGGTGAACTCCTTCCGCCCAAATTTGCAACAATTTCTATTTTATCTTACAGTTGTTAACCCATTAAAAGACATTGAGATCAGGGTGTGTACTGTATACCTGTCACCACAGATTGCACTGAAGTCAACTAACTTTGCTTTGCTTTAATTACAACTTCTCATACCAAGACAAAAGTGTTTCATAAAATTCTCTCCAAATGTCCCAGCTTTGTGCTTTTCCCCAACTAAAGCAGATGCCTGCCAAAGAAAAATGGCTTCAATCACAAAAGACAGCAAATATACTGAAAAGATTAAAACAAAGTAAAACCAAAAGTGTGCCCAGCTTCCTTCCTGTTATCATCAGAGACAGCATGTTTTCAGGATAGCAGCAGCACCCCGGTGTGTCTGGCTTTAAAAACATCCAAATAGCTTACACCCTGTTCAGCCCCTGATGCTCTAATTTATAAACTTGTGTCCAAGTCCTAGTTACAAAATCCCACTGAATTCACTGGAATTCGTTGCTTAGGTATAACTGTTCATAGTATACTGTTTGGTGAGAGAGATTTCTACCACTGCATACACTGGTGAGATAAAAACCTTAGTAACTAAAATGTTTTTCAGAATCTTGCTTTCCTGGAGAAAAAAAAAGTGTAATTGTATGGAAATGGAAGAGTTATTTGGTCTTACTGTGGACATGGTAACTGTGGTCTCTGGGTCATCTTGTGCTCTTTCTGTCAGCTCATTTATTTTCCATGTGGCTGCTTGAATACATACAATTGTCTCTGGTTATCATATGCTGAATATGATTGTTATGCACTCAGATTTATTCCCAGCATGAAAATTATTTGAAAACGTGTAGAATGAGGAGGAGAAACACAGCCATCAGTTGAGGAACTCGCACAGTAGAGTGCTCAAGAGCTTCCTTTCAGATTTGCCTTTCCTGCCAAAAAAAGGCATTGTTACCGTGACAGCCAAGAGGCGTGTGTTACAACAGGGAAATCACATGGGATGCAAAATTAAAATCTCAATCACAGGTGAAAAATCAAGACAGCAGAGGAGTGGATATACAGCACTGCTCGTTTCTCCCCATCTCCCAGGAAAAGTTGCATATGCCTTGTCCTTACTGGGGTGATACTGTGAGATGTCCAACGCCCAAAGCAGGGTAGCTAAGCAACCTCCCAGCGAGTGGAAGAGGTCACCCCTTCCACCAGAACAGCATCCAGTGGCCCGAGCTCCTCTGCCAGCACAGCCGGACCTATGACAGGTCCTTACCAGTCAGTCCCACCCAAGGAAGTGTGACTTTGCAATGTCCCAGGCTGGCATGGCCACACTGTCAGGATTGTGCAGCACAGCTCAAGCACCAGCAGGACTTGCACACCATGCCATGGTTTCCACAGAGGAGCACAGGGGCTAATTCCTATGCTCAACTGAGGATCCAAATTACACCCGGTGACAATTGAAGACAAACTTGTCAAGCCCATGTAGGTCCAGACAGCAATCACCTGGGATTTCTCCATGCACAGACCACTGTATTTCTGAATGGCAGATGACTATCCTCAGGTTCCTCTGCTTGCAGCTACTCAGCGTTTCTCCCCTGTTGTAGTAATTCTGGCCAACAATGCTCACTATTACTTACCCTCTTTGGATAATCACACCCTTATGGTACCTCTCACAGCCTAATGTTTTACAGTGAAATCTGAGAAGGTCTGAATAATCCTAATAGTGGTTCGGCAGCGGCACTTGCACAATTATTATGTAAAATGTAAGTGTGCTCCTACCAGCTCTCCATTTAAATTTATAGTGATTGGTTCCAATCACTAACATGGTAAATGAAAAAAATCCCCAGCCTTCATTTAAGAGGTTTATAGTAAATAAAAAAGTGCCAAGGGTTGTGTGTTGGCCCCCAGTCTGTCAGCTTTCTGTGCAGGAAGGGATTCAGGCTCCCTTTCCTAGGCATACATAAAATGCCGGGTGATATACGGCTCTGCTCCATGAAGAGTATGGCTGCAGCGAGAGCCAGAGCAACTTAGGCTGCTGGTCCTAAGGAAACCTTCTCTGCAAGCCCAGGCTGGAAGGGCTGAGGCAGAAATCACCCACATTCTCCTGCAGCCTGCTTTTCCAGCATCTTTTCAGTGTTTGGCAATGTACTGTTTCCCACCTACAAGGCAGTGTGGAGTTGGAGCCCTGATTAATCCAGTGCACAGAGCCTTTACCATATTGAACAAAGGCCGGCAACTGTCAGATGTGGTGAGTATTGCTTGAATTATTCTTTCCACAAGGAACACAGACCTTGAGAAGGTTTTAATCTATCTCTAAAGGCCACTCTGTTGTTCTGAATTTAGGCTGCAGGGAAGGCAGCTCTTCACTCATGATTTTAATTTCAGTCGCTGCAAGGGTAACTTTAGAAAATACACCCTGGGTCTGATTCTGACTCTTACTGAAGTCAAAGGCCAACATACTGTGCAAGTCAGTGGGAAGAAAGGTGTGATTCTGCTACACAAAGCCAAGTGTCTGGAGGATGTTCAGCCCTATCCTATTGTGAAGTTTACCACTCCTGGGTGAAAACAGGCGCCTGCTCCTCTTAGCTGAAGTCCCCCTGGCAACCTACAGACCCCCTTCTGCCCCCTGGCACAGCCTCAAGGGGAAGAACAGCCAGTACAAGCGACACTGTCCCCAGTTTGTTGCATGCATAGAAGGCTTCGGAAGTGTTGTTCAGTGAGAACCACCTATTACTGCTCCTCCGAGGCCAGCTCCGAGAAGGGTCCTGCAGCTGAGTCAATCACAGGCACCAGAGAGGCATCCATCACCTTTACACTCCCTGCATCACCTTTACATTGCCTGTATTGTCTTTATGTTGCCCAGACCTCTCTCCCTTGCCATAAGCCTGCCATCTCTGCTCCTTGGGGAAGAAGGAAGGGCAGATCCTTCAGGCTTTCCCACATTCATCAAGCTGTTTCTCCAATGGCACTCAACACCCTTGCACTGCCACAGTGTCTTGACCAAATGGACTTTCCAAAGGCCTCTTCCTCCCAGACTGGCCGCAGCTGCTGGATGGGATGTCTCAGGAATAGCCCCTCCATGGAGCCTGCCTACGGGGCCCCACTCAGTAGTGCTCCCAGCCCATGTGGGAACTCAAGAGCAGGCCAGCAAATGGTGGGATCAGCCAAGGAGAACTTGCTTGTTGTCATCAGGGAAGACAATTCTCTCCCCCAAGGCATCCTGTGCTGCCAGAGCAGCACACTGGCCAACAAGGACAGTCTCAGTGACAAAGAGACAGACATGAGTAAAGAGGTCCATTAAGTACTGGCTGGGAGAAAGAACCGGCATTTTTGACCCCAGGAAGCCCAATTTTTACACTAGTTTATTAACTGCAGTAGGTCCAAACTACCCTGGTTTTGTCTGAAGCTTCTCCTGATGGTGGCAGATCAAGGGAGATGCTGGACTCTGCTTCCTCTCTTCAACACATCTGAGATGGTGCAACCACAAGGACTTCATCCAAGAGGACTTCAAGAGCTATCACCCACACAGGGGCCATTCTCTCCAGAACAGTGGGGTTACTGGAGCCCCCCAGGACCTGCTGCAGCCCTCCCACAATGGCTGGCAAAGGAGTACACTGGTGTGGGGTGAGTCATTCCAAACCAAGGCTACACGCCTTAACAAGGAGGTGTTAGTTTGTCCCTTTATGCCCCTCCCCATCCATTTTTTTTCCTCAAAATAAACAAATGCTTTGCTGGGCGAGCCTCAACCCTACACAGCCCATGCTACTCACAGGTCCCTGCTGCTCCCCAGCAAGGCTCCTCTCCCCAGAGGAGAGATGCAGCACATCTGTCCTGCCACTCTAACCCTGATGCAGCCTTTCCTCCTGCACACCCACACAGGGGGTATTGCCTGTCCCCTAATTTGCTGTGATTTCACAGCAAGAAATGAAACCAGTGTTTCTATGAAGTAGGAGAAAGTAACCAGCCGTGCAAGATCCAGTGACAGATCCCAGCGCAGCCAGCCATGGCTGGCGTCTGACAAGCGCTTCGTTAATGCATTTCTAGGCTCACCCCATGCTTGGGGAAATCCTCCCTTCCCTACAAGAGGACACAGAGCAGAACCAGCCAGTCTGAATCAATCAAGGCAGACTGGGGGGTCAGTGGTGAATCCGGGCACAGGAAGGGGTCTGCAAAAGTGCACTTGTAAATCCCTCAGTGGGAGTCCCTCCTCCTCCTGCTCACAGATCTGTAGCATCAGGGGCTTTACACTCCAGTGGCACGCTCCCAGTGTGCCTTGCACATCTGCTGAACTAAGGTAAAACTGGACACTGCAGAGCTGTGATTTATATCCACAGGGTAAGGCGCTGCTGGAGAGGTCCCTTCCTGCCGCAGGAGGGATACACACTTCTCTTTCTCTCCTCTCACATCCTGCCCTTGCAAGCGCTGCACAGTTACAGAGAGGAAGCCTGTTAGGACATTGTCACTGCTCCTCCTCCTCTTTCAGCAATCAGAAATCCCAAACCATGTGGCTGCTGTGCTACCCGGCAAAAGCACCAGGCGAGAGAAGAACCCAGGCATCCCTGCTGCAGGCCCTGCTGCACGGTACCCCTGGATGCTGGTGCTTTGGAGCAGTATAGGCACCTTTACCTTTAACAAATGCTAACTGGAAGCTTGAATTGCTCCACCAGATCTGGCCAGCTAGATTGGCTGAGAGAAGTTAACTCAGTGGAAGAAGGCAGAGGAATAAAAGGCCTTCCTTTCTCCTTTTGTCAGGCAACAGGTCACACATGCTTGCAGACAGATCCCAAAGCCTGTCTCTACTCTCACATTTCCTCTCTTCCGCTCCCTGACGCTTTCCTGACACATCTTCTTGTGCACTTTGCTCAGCTTTTGAAGTAACACTCCTCCCTGCTTGTTCTCCTTCCTACTCCTTGTCACTGCAGTCCTGCTGCTGTCATCACGCTCCCGTCAGACTTCTCCTTTCAACTGTGCATTTCCACGCTGTCTTTCCCAACTGTCACACACGCTTCTGGTTCAAACATCTGTTCCTCCCCCTCCCAGAGAAGTTACTCCAAAATGTGCTGCTTTTTGTCTGAATGGAAGGAAGGATAGATTTGGTTGTACACATGGTGCTACACAACCATCCAGGCTGCCAAGTGAAAAGGTCCTCTTCTGTTATTTGGTCACATCAATTCCCAGGGCTACAGGTTCAGTTCCTGCTTATTCTGCCAGGATGAAGAGTGAGAAGCCTGTTTCTTGTGCCCTACAGCCTGGTTGCTCAGGGCTAATAGCCTCTGCTATGCATGGAAGCAAAGGAGAGGGATACTGACTACCCCACACAGAAGGAAGGTCTGCATGATCATTTTCTGTAATGGGGTTAATATATGCCCTGCAAGAATGACACCCTGAACTGCCCACCCTCACTGATGCCATGGGAAGGCAGGGGAGCAATCATGGGGTAAGAACAGCTGGATTCTCTCCTCCTTGACTGCCCCCATGAACTGGCTGGAAGCAAGGAGCCTCCAGCAGCTGCATGGAGCAGTATGCCTCGGCAGCATTACAGACAGAAACCCAAAATCTAGCTCTGTGTAAAACCTCAGGGTAGAAAATGACATTACAGCCCTTGGGCCATCTTTCTCCAAAACATTTGGAGAGTTGGCAGAGACAGCAACTGGAGCTGTGGGGGAATCTTCTGCTTCCAGGCAGAGGGAGGACTGCAAGCCCACGCTATACATCCACCATCACACCAGCTCCTTCAACACCTCAGCTCAGCCGTTCCCATGGGCTGGGTATCACTTACCAGCAGGTTTTCATTCACCAGGCACCCCACATATGAGTGCCTGAGGCTGCTCTGTATCTGTGGCAAGCCTCTGATAAAAGGGTGCAGCTGGTCATGAACCAGTTGAGCTAACACAGGTGCAGCAGCCAGTTCCTCTATTAGGGCAGTCACTTAGAGTCCCTCCTCTCACAGGGAAAACTGGTCTTTCATGGGCCTTGGACACATCCCCAAACCAAGTGTCAGAACTTAGAGAAAAAGGTTCAGAAAGTTCTTGTTACTGGTGGTAAGTTCTGCCCATAGCTGCAACCGCAGTGAAGAATCTGAAATGTTGTTTCTATTCTATTCTCCTTTCAGCTGCTTATAAGTTTCTCAGTTTCCTATTCAGGGTGAAATGTTCAGTGCTTGGTCTCAGCTCAGAGATGATTTCTTTTATATTCCCCTGCAGGAACTGTGAGCAAAATACTAAATGCAGTAGATTTGGAGTTTGGGGAGTGCAAGCAATCAGATATTTCCCCCTTGTTCCCTCTGATACCATATGTTCCAATTGGAAATTTTACACTTGCAGACTGGTAACTCCTAAATGATGGAGATGATAGACTTCAAATATTCTTATTGAGAGGCAGAAAACAAACCCAGATTTAACAAAATAATTGGTTCAATACTGTTAAGATGAGTTTAGAGAATTCTGATAATTCTTTTCCCTCTCCTGGTGTCCCAGGAGGGGCAAGTACACACGTTTTATTTTAATCTATGTGCTATAATTGTAAGGATAGCTGACACAAGGTGGTCCTTGTTAAGATGTATCTATTCGCTTTGAAATCAAGCTCAGTGCTTACAGGCTGCCAGAAATCACAGACCTATTATTCCAGGAACTTTTGAGTTCCACTGTCAAAACCATCAGAAGTCTGTAAGCGGAACAGCTCCCATTCAATGCATTCTTGTGCTCATTTGCAAACTCTATGGTGGGATTGCTTAGAGCTTTGTTCCCCTCAATCCTAAACTCACTTAAAACTAGAGGCAGAGAATATCTGAAAACCCAGCCTTCCAGAAGCAATATCACCCTAATCATCCTCAACCACAGTGTCTCTTAGGTCACCTTATATATCACATACTTGGAGTTTTTGCTTTAAAGTCAGTTCTGCAAGCCCCATGAAAGCTTTGGATAACCTATTCATACTTTACATGTCAGTATAAATACATAAGTTGTAAGACACAGTCAATGAACTTTAAGCACAGGTACTTCTAAGCACAAGTGCTCAATCACTGCCAAATTCATATATGCACATAGACGGTTATATTATCTTTTCGAGGGACAGGTTTATGTAGGGAGACAATATTCCCCTATCCCTTCTCCCTTTACCATGGCATGGATGTCCTTTTGTATGTGTCTGGGGAGTTACTGAACAGCTGTCCAGCCCATCTTGCTTCCCCTGCACCATCCATGGTCCTGTTTACAGCTGAGAGTCACTACTGACAGCTCACATGGATTTAACAACTTGGGCAGCAAACCACTACCAAAACAGACTGGCACATTGTGACATAACAAAACAGCTCACAAAATGACCCCGTTTGGGCAAGGAAGTCTCATGACCTGAAACTCACCAAACACAAGGGCTGGCAGACCATCGAGGAAGCAGATGATGGCTCTCTTCCAATCCTGCTGACCAAAGTGACACAGCAGCCACCTGGAACACAGCAAGAGATGAAACCTCCTTGGCAAGCAGCTCCCAGCCTGTTCTCTGCCTCCCCAGCATCTGGCATAAGCTAGTTTCACATCTAGAGCCCTTGATCACTTTGATCTCTCAGGTAGTTATTACCTTAATGATTCATGATTGTTAATCAGGTCTCACCTGCAAGCAAGGGAACCTCCACACCAGCCTGCTAACATTGTAGGCTCACTTCCCCAGCCTCCTGGGAGCTCCTTTGTTACACCAGTCCCACAGCACAGTGATTCTATTAAGTGCTGTGGAATTAATCTTGATTTATGGCAGTGGGAGAGAATTGTCAAGTCCCGTGTCCTCACCTTCTGAGCTACTGGTACCACTCGGATCTTCGTCATACTTTAAGTGCTTTATTCTGGTCAGGTTGGTAGAATTACTTGGCTTCTGTATCCTTACGTTCTGGATATTCTTTGCAGTAATTCCTGGTAGCGGCTTCTGGAAAGGTGTTTTTCTCCCTCCACTCCCCACAATAAATGAGTTTGTCACCTGAAATATACTGCCAGTGTGTTACATGTCCCACAGTGTTTGTGGCTATATCAGAAGTGTTTGTTTATAGCACCATAATTCAGCAATATCTTGATTACAGGAGAGATGATGTTGTAACTCACTGTGGCTAGAGAGAATATTATTTTTCTTTCCCTTTAATATAAAATGTTGATTTTCAGTCAATACACTGAAAGAAAAGAAGTACAGCTGTTGCCCTAGTAACCAGCTGCCTTGTAAACCATAAGATGTTAGGAGCATAAGGTGTTAATTGTTCCAAGTGCTGCTTCTGGTCAGGGATAAAAGATAGAGTGGGAGAGATCTTAAGAAAAATCTGGGAAGATAGTCAGCTGGTCTCTGCTTGGAGAGAGCCTATATAGCAGCAAGTGGAGACACAAGGTGAGAAGTAACACTGCCATAAGAATGGCCTGAATTGTGGCCATGTGTGACAGCATCCATGAGAGAAGCCTCTGAAGGCACAACAATGCTGGGAGCCTGGTGGGTTTTTACCAGCATGGTCACAGCTCAGCACCTCTACCACCAGATGCAGCAGCTTTTTCTGCCACTGCTCACCCCCTCTTCCTGACCAGACCCACCTCGACTTCCCCTTCTGTTCTGTGTCCTGGGGTTTCCACGTGCTGTGCTCCAGGAGGCTCCTTCCAATGCACTATTCAGCAGGGATTGAGGTCTGTCCTGCAGAAATTGCCACCACCTCTCTGCAGAGCATTTCTTCCAGTGGAGCAAGCCAGGACAGAGCACCCCTTCTGTCACATACCTGTGAGTGCTGCAACACAACTGCATTGCCCTGCTAAGTGGCTCCTGCTTTCACACCTCTTGCACGGCACAGCACACAACATCTCCCTGGCTGCTCCTGCTGCGCATTCATCCCAGCCACGCTGCCTGTGAGGAGTGGGAGCAGTTGATTGCCCAGAGCACAGACTGAACTCCACAAAGATGTGTTTCTGTTCCAGCCTCCTACAAGACAGAGCCCTCATGTCCAGCAGGCTGGGGCTCGGAAAGCAGCGCCAGAAGGACTCCTGCAAGAGGCCTCTAAGGAAGAAAGGCGGCATGAGGTCTTCTCTCCCATCTCTAAGATGAAAGCAAGCTGGCGAGACAGCAGCCTCATGCTCTGCAGCATCTGCCACCTCTCCCTTCCCTCCCCCCAACCCCAGCCCAGCAAACATGAATATTGCTAAATCAGGAGGAAAGTTTCCTACTGTAACCTTTTTTAGCTATTACCTGCTCTTGATGCCCACTGAACATGCAAGTACCTGCAATCCCTTAGGAAATAAAGATAAGGGGCATAGAAAAAGCAGTGTATTTATAAGGTAACCCCCTCCCAGGGGCAGGGTTATGCTAATCAGAGAGACTGTCCCAGCATAACACATGGATTACATACACACCACAGTAACATATGGAGAGGAGGGCTCACATTCAGCACGGCTGCTCTCCCCAGCACACATGGCTGGAGGGTTTCACACCATGAACAGGAACAGAGAAGCAAGGCCAAGCTCTGGCTTTGACCTGAAGAGAAAAAGGATGGGACAACAGCATTGGAAAATTGGCAATTCTGGCAAAAGCCCTCCCCTGGGCTCCAGTTTGCAGGGGTATATTCCTGATGGCTCATTAGCTTCTGGGGAGAAGTTTTTTTCTGCTATTGTTTTTATTTACTAACTCTTGATGTTTATACTTGGCAATAAAGTCACAGGTCCAGTGAACCACACCACAAAGCCCTGTATGCAGCCTAATGCTGTGTCACATTGGTGATGGAGACTACATCTAGCTACACAGCCTTCATATCAAATCAGAGGTTTATTTTCTCTTTCTTGCTCCCCCAGGTACAGTTGCCTGTGATAACGCAGCTGTCTCCATCTCAGCATAGCCTAACACAGACCTGTGTCACTGACCGGGGCTGGGATTTCTGCCATGCATCCTCTACACTAAGAAAACACAGCTTGAGCACAGATGAAAGTGCGAAACCATGATTTTTTCCAAGTGGAGAGTGCCTGGGCAGCACTTCCCATAGCAGAGCTGCATTTAAACTGGGGTCTGTGGGTAAGATGATTGAAAAATAAAGATGAATGAGTTTGGTTGGATAATTATATAATAAAATTGAAGGCTCTGGAGTTTAACTCGGGAATATAATCCAGTATATGTGGCTGGTTAGCCTGCTCCCTCTCCTACTACTAGCAGCACCATCTTAACCCAGCAAGGAAATCTGCCCTTCATATGGAGTCCCAAGACAGAAATGTTTGGGTAGCACAGCCCAAGTACCTGCACAGGATCAATCCTGCCCTGTGCCAGTCTCCCAGTAGATAGTTTTGTGCCCCACGTGTGAGGCAAAGCAGCAGAGAGGTGCTGCAGGACTCGACATGGGCTTGTCTGCTGCTACAGCTGGACCCATAACTCTACACAGCTGAACAAACCCCATCCCAGGGAAGGCTTGCGGGAGGCTCTGTGCTTGGTAGGAGCACAGGGCAGATGTTTAGAGGCTGACAACCTGGTTGATAGCTTGGGGGCTTTACAAAGGCAAGCCATCCCGTGGGTGGGTGTGATGGAGACCTCTGCTCAGGGGCCGCTAGGATAAAGCTGGCCCAGGGTCAGAGACAGGTTTGGAGCTACCTCTCATTCCAGTAAATACATGGCTACATAGAGGGTGGTGTCTAAGGGTAGAAAGGGCAGCACAGCCCTTTCCTTTCCTGAAAGGAAAACTGAGGTTGGTTTTGCTATCTGGCGTGACTGCTTTCCTACATTCAGCTTTCGAGCTGCTGCAGAACTGAAGAGCAAAGCAGAGGCAAGTTCCCTTTGACTTGGGAAATCCTTCAGAATTAAAGCAAACCCATTTTGAAAGGCAGACTTTGTCAGCTGTCCTATTTTTAGGATTGACTCCTACAGGTCCTTCCCTTCAATGATAGCAGTTTTGCCTGAGCAATGACTAGGGACTGCAGGATTTAGGCTTTTAATAAAGCAATTGTGTAATTAAAAATAAATGGGTCTCTAGTGTCACTATTTAAAAGAAAAGAAAACTTAGATCAAATAAGGCATTTCTTTCTTTTTGGTTTAGCCTGCTTGGATCATGCAGAGCTTTAATGACGCAGTCACAAATGTTGTATTTAAAAGGCCTCTTAGTTGCTGAGAGGAGCCCCAGGAGAGGGCTATTAACTGGCCAAATTAGGCTATTTATTTTTGTGAGTTTTGCAAGTTTGAAAAAGAGAGGCACATTTTCACTTAGGAGAGTGATATTTCAAATAGGTCACAGGAAACTCTGGCAGGCGGGGAGCAAAGCAGAGCGTCAGTAGGAAAACATTAACCAGAGTAATTTTGCAAGTGCAAGTCGACATTTGGGTTCCTAATGGCGTCTGAAGTCCATTCAAAAACCTTTCAGTAAAATGGGGGCAAGGCACTGCAGCTGCGCAGGAGCCCTGGCCTGATCCTGGAAGTCTAAACCAGCAGAGCTGTGCCTGCGGAGGCTGCTGCAAGAGAAGGCGATGCTGCCATCACAGCCGACGAGCTGGCACTAAGTGTTTGAAGGCGATGGACTCTGCCTGTTGGTTAGGAGATAGCTGATGCTTGCACAGATGGCTGGTCAGTCCTGAAATTTCACTGCTCCTTTCCCTCCTCCAGCTTTGACTTTGATTCTTCAGACAATCAATAACTTCATTTTCCAGTCACAGCCCGGAGCAAACCAGGAGTGACTTCAGTAACTCCCTCAAAGAAAGGTGCATGCACACCTGAAGAATCAGGTCCAGTACTTTTTACATGCATGAGACTGGTTGGGAAAGGTCCCTCCACACCATTTCAACAGCCATGGTGCTTGCTTGTCAGTAGCACACCATTTCCTCCATCTGCAAATAACCTGGTCTTGAACACTTGCAGGGATGGGGCAGCCACAGCTTCTCTGGACACCCTGTACCAGTGCCTCACCACCCTCACAGGGAAGAACTTCTTCCTAATACCTCACGTAAATCTCCTCTGTCAGTTTAAAACCACTCTGCCTTGTCCTGTCCTTACTTGCCCTTGTATAAAGCCCCTCTCCAGATTTCTTGTCACCCCCTTTAGGCACTGGAGCTGCACTAAGGTCTCCCTGGAGTATTCTCTTCTCCAGGCTGAACCTGCCCAGCTCTCTCAGCCTCGCTCCAGAGCAGAGCTGCTCCAGCCCTCAGAGAATCTCCATGGCCTCCTCTGCACTCACTCCAACAGGTCCATGTCCTGATGTTGGGGGTTCCAGAGCTTGATGCAGGACTGCAGGGGGGGACTCACAAGAGTGGAATAGACGAGGAGAATCCTCTCCCTTGACCTGCTGGTCACGCTTCTTTTGGTTCAGCCAGGATACAGTTGGGTCTCTGGGCTGTGAGTGCACACTGCCAGCTCACGTAGAGCTTCTTGTCAACCAATGCCCTCAAATTTTTCTCCTCAGAGCCATTCTCAATCCAGTCTCCACACAGCCTGGAGCTGTGCCTGAGACCTTGCACTTGGCCTTGTTGAAATCCATGAGGTTCACCTCTCAAGCCTGTCAAGGTCCCTCTGGACATCATCCCTTCCCTCCAGCATGTTGACTGCACCACACACTTGGTGTCATCAGCAAACTCGCCGAGGGTGCACTCGATCCCACAAAGACGCTGAACAGCACCAGGCCCAAC